CTGATTAGTTACGTGCTTAAAGTTAAGCACATGCTGAATACCTTCCTGAACTGAAGCTCATGTGTTTCTTCGCAAACTGTAATTTTTTCTCCCTCCAAGTCAAACGCTTGTTGACTTGAGAAACGTTCAGCTTGGGGAAGTTTCAAATTGCTACACCACAGCAAACCACCACAATTACAATGCATTGCTTCTTGGTCCTCCGTTGCAGCCAAAGGCAAAGCAACACGAAAGCTGAAACAAGCCCTCTTTAGTATTTCTCATATGTCCCTTTACCACGACTTCAAAAGATCTGCTGTGTTGTCAAAAAATAGTCTTAGTTTAGATGATGGCAGTGCCGCTGTACCCTAAAGCATTTACCTGCAACAGAACTGCTTTAAACATGCAGTGATTGCTAAGTGGAGACACGTGCCACACCTGACTGTGCCACTTCCTACTCTCAAACCAACAACTGACTTCACCTGCTTCCATTTCTTCTGTCTCACAACTATTGCATGTATTATGCACTGTAATATGTTTTAAGACTAAAGATTTTCCAAGTATTACTACATGAAGTTGATGTTGGCTTAAGAGCTCAGTAGTATTAAATTCTTCTCTTCCCTTTAGTTTAAAAAAATCATAAAGTACCTAAAGTAAGAAAAATTCAAACATTTCTATTTCATAAAAAAAGATTTCTCCATAAAACCGAACAAAGCTAAAACAAAGACATATTTTGTCTAAAGTATGTAAAATCTGTGCCCTTTACAAAGAGATTAATACAGAAAACAAGTGAAAACACTATCTGCCTTATACATATGAACTCGAGTTTTTCAGAATGAATGTCTTCGAGATAATTTTCCCATAGGTTGTCTGAATTCTAGAAAAACGTATTTTACCATGCCTATTCCCTTTCAGCAGACTCTGGCTTCCCAGTCTCCATAAGGGACTTCTGTCTAGCCCATCTCCTTTTTTCTTCTAGTTTTCTTTCACTGTAATTTTCATCATCTTTCTGTTTTTGCAATCTTGCTATTTGTACTCACTATTCTTTCCTCCCCCATATGCTGGTTTAGATATTCCCGTCCCACTGAGATTTTTATTCCAACCTCCTCCCTCATCTTCTTTCACTTCTTAGATTTCTTTTTTTATCCTGTTTTTTTTTCCCCCTCTTAAAATAATGTTCAGGGAATTGAGAAACCAAAATGGCTCACATTACCACTGAGGCATCTCTAAATGGCAAATAAATAAGCCCTTTGAATAGTGACATTCATTCCAACAAGATGCCAAAACATTATAACAAACAGCAAGATGCACACGTGCATGCTCTTCATGCTGCCATGGAGTAGACTGCCCTTCTTCCTCACCGCAAGTCAGAAAGAAAGACCAGAAGAGCTTATGTCCAAGATTTCCAGTCTGTGAAACCCTTGGGAAGAAAAATTAGTTTATACCCTTGAAACTCATTTGGGGGAGGAGGAGAAGAGAAATCAAAACCTTTTTTTTGGGTCAAAGTTGACTACCACTTTTCATCAGAGGGTTACCTAAAGGCCAAGCAAAGATTGTTCCAGGTACTGTACAAGCACAGCTGCAGTCAGCCCCGAGTTTGTTACCTCAAGAAAAGGAACACCAAGGAAAGGTATAGCTTCAAAGCAAAATGAACACGATGAGACACAAACATGAATTTCTTGATGCTTTTTTAGCGAAGGGAAAGATATGGGACACAGAAATCAAGGGAGACCAGACAGATATGGCAAGGGAGAAGGGGACAACACACCCAAGTATGAAATGACACCGACCTTAAAGTCCTGCAAAGCAAAGGGAAACAGGAGTGCTGGTGCACACAGCCCAGTCAGCAAAAAACATGGCAATTCCAGGCAAAACTATAGAGAGGTCATTTAATATCAAACCTGAACATGCTCCTACTTTGCCCAGCTTATCTGGCTGGCCTTCCCCTACAGCCATATGACACAGAAGAGCAAGACAATTCACAGGTCTCATTTTTCTCTGGACTGGTCTACCTTCCACAGTAGGTGGTTCTGAGAGTCCCGGGTAAAATATTGTCGCAGCTTGGGTCTAGTTTTTGCTTTTTCTTTCAAAGTAGAGATCTGCTTCTACAGCTCATCTTCTGACTGGACACTGGGAAATACTCTGCCTGGAAGAGACTTATCCATAACTGACAAGAACAAAAGCTGGACAATTATTGTCCTAATGCTCTTCTATCCCCCTTCTAGTCTTAATCATTATGCAATTCTCATGCCAGTTAAGTGACCCATCAGGCTGCACAGTCTAGTTCCAGCATTCAAGACTCAGCATTGGTCTGATTTTGCAAAACATCCCCTCCTTAACCTACTATAATTGGTTCACAGCCATAGTTTGGAAGTATGTATGCAGGTAAACAAGGTGAAAGTGACTGGTTTCTAGCTAGCAGGAAATAAATGTACATATCAACAAAGCTTTAAAAAAAAAAAAAACAAAAAAAACCCCACCAGCTTATGCACTAAGCATGATATTCTTATCTCAGGGCAAGTCCCCATATCCAGGTTTCCACACATAAATTGCATAGAAATTCTCTAATTAGGACTCAGCAGAGTGATGATAATGGAATGACTGCACCAGGATTTCAAAAGCTAGTAACCCAATTAATTATGTCTCCTCCTAAAAATGAATTGTGGATCTCCTTCAATAAAGCTATCCACGCAAGACATAATGAACGTTGATGGAATTTAAAAATATTTGAGGAATCATAACAATTTTTTACCATTTTGCCTACCAAGTTACTGCATTTAAACCGGAAATATTGATGGCTATTGCTTCTAGTTTGGAAGTTTGTTAGTCATTTCATTTGCTACAGGGCAATCTGTCTGGCAGTCTGCCAGAGCCATAAATTACATATGCATGAAGTGTTGCTTCAAGTTCATTTGTGTCAGTGTACCTCCATCTTGACTCCAGCACTCTTCTACAATTCCGAACTTCGCTTCTATTAAGCAGAAGCTGCTAAAAATTAGCAGAGGCGGAGTAGTGGCTGAATGAAATATTTGAAAGTATTTTAACCCACAGCTGGTGACTTCTCCTAGGACTTCACCAGGGCTATAAATAAAAATACCTAACACAAGACACTTAGAAAGTCTGAAATGCATAGAAATTCAAAACAACAGTATAAAATGAACATTAGACTGACAATAAGCGTGCTTGCCATTAAAAGTAGATCCTTGGTCTGCCCTAAATGAAGAATGCTCACTAGTAAAAGCAACATATTCAATTCAACTATAAAATCTTTGTAATGCCTTAGCACACACCTCTCCATTGCCTTTGCTATAAATACACAGAGGTCACACTTGGTGCTTCCTTCCATCTTGGAAGCAGCTCTAGCGTGGGAGAGGTTGCTGCAGGCAGACCACTGATGGCAAGTTCACTGTTAGAAATGACAGTGAAATGACAGAAATCCCTTAAAAAAAAATTATAGCCTTCTCGTTCTAAAGTAGGCATAAAACAAGGAATTATGGAAAATGATGCAGTATCATTTCGATGTACTTTCCATTCCCTGCTTCTCTACATTTTCAGAGGAGCAAGAAAGGCCACTACAACTAATGTTTCAAACATGAAATTGATGTCCAGTTTTTAAAGACACGACTGAGCTGGCAGAAGAATAAGATGGTGCTAATCTGTGGTGATATAGTGATTTGAATAAGCATAACTCAACCTCAACCTCCGTATGTTATTAAAACACCCTGGCTCTGCTCACTCTCTCCACTTTCTTAAATTTGTCACTGCAATAGCTTGAGCTTACTGCAAGGTTTACCTTCATTTATAAGGTCCAAAGTGAATAGCATGGCTTACAACTCTTGGAATATTTATCGCTTAGAACTTGAGCCACATCTGCAGCACAGTATTTTTCCAACAGAACAATAGCGTATCTGCTCAATGTGTGTGTGAGGGCAGCATTACATCCTAAGTCAACTAAGCCAACAAAACCCACCATGTGGATACAGCTATGCCAACAGAAGCTTTGCCCAGCCTGTATCATTCAGGGAGGTAGCATAATTACATTGTCAGAAAAACTTGAGACAGATATTATTTTGAGTAGATAAGACTTGCCTTAGATAGCCAATTTCAACACTGTTAACCTTTAAAAGAAATAACTATTTCAATGCTTGGCATGCTTAAGAAAGAAGAGAGGAAAAAGCACATCCTGGAATTTTTCCAAAGCACTTTTTTTGACAATAAGAGCGAGGGAGATGCTGCCCATCCTCCCAGTACAAGCAAAGTACCTCAAACATCCAGCAGTTCCAGAAGTCACCTTAGACACAAGGGACTCCCAAAGGAGTACCCAAACAAAGAGACCAGTAAATGACTTTTTTTTTCCTTTTCTTTTTTTTTCTTTTTTTTTTTTTAACTTTCAGATCCCAGATTACATGCAGTGATATTCTGGACAGTACCTTGTACATGTAAGGCACCTTAATAACTGGCAGCTGTCAGAGCAGCAGCAACAACTTCTATTTTCAGTATTACCTCAAATGCAAAGGCTTAAAATAACACACATTCAGCTAAAAACAAAGGAAATGTTAATACCTGGCGCTCCCATAATGCTTTTTACCCATAAAATTCAGAGTATAGTAAAGTCTTCTTTTTACTCTGTGAACTCTGAGAAAAATGAAGACATAGAACAATTAATTCAGACCCTGGTCAAAGTACTTAATGGAAGAGCTAAAAACTGAGCCTGGGCTTTCTCTTTTCCAGTCTTGTATCACTTTTGCTCAGAAAAAGACATATGCAAATATCATAATGAAAATCTATTTGTGTACTATACACACAGAAGCACTGCTATTGCCAGGAAATATGCATTCCGAAATGTCAGTTTACCTATGAACAGGAATACTTATCGAGTATAAATAGCCAAAAGCATACAGTATCGGACGATATTCTTTAGAATTAAGCTGTTCGTAACATCATACTTAACTCCACACTACCCGTTAAGCCTAGCAGACTGTTTTGGACAACACTCAGAAACGCGGAGATGTATCAAAGCTTACCTTCTCGTGATTTTCTATCAGGATTTCAACGACGATATTCTGAAACTTCAGGTCCATGATGGCTGCTACAGTTTCTTCCTGTGGCCTCATTAAGGTTGGTCCAAATACTACCCCTAGATTTGCCACAGTCATTAGATTCCTCTTGGCATGCTTTGAAACACTTTTTGAAAAGAATTGAAGGAAAAAACAGGAAATAGGTTATGAAAAATTTCCATTACTGTTGGAAACTGCAGTCTACAAATGAAAACATTACATTTCCTTAATCTATGTTTTAGAAGTTTGTTTTGTGCAAAGTTTCTTCAAATAAAGTCTTATTGAATTCTGGAAAACAGAAAAGCCATTCTTCCACTAGCAATTTAAAAGCAAAAGCAGTCTCTTACTGAACTTAAATATATAAAATGCACTTAGCCTTGGACCAGGGCAAGTGTGAAACCAACTTAAATTTGCTAACAGATCTCCACTATTCACTTTGCCAGAATTTGCGAAAAGAAAGTATAATGTTCCCTTTCTCACTTCAATCAAAACCTCAACTGCTGGCAGGACTGCTAAAGTAAATACTTATATGGCTTCATTAACGGATTAGATTTCTGCCCTTCCCGCCAAAATATACACAGCATGAGTCAAACGTCTTGTCTGCTTTTGCACGTTTGGTTCTTGGTATTGTGTATGACAGCATCGAGATGGGCTTCAGCTCCAGCCACACTTAACTAAGGCCCTTTGTAGTCAAACAAAGGTAAGGACAAGAATTCTGACAAGGTAGGAAAGCAGGTCATAATACTTACTTCGCTAAATGTTTCACCAAAATTTCCAGCATCTCTTTGTTCTTTTCTGGGAGTTTATGGACCAAGAAGTGCACAGCATTAACTCGAGATTCAGGACTCCCACTTTCTATGGGACATAGAAATAAATAACTATCTCAAAAAATAAAAATAAAATAAAATCCACAGAAACACAAAGCTTCTCCCACCCCTGCAGGGAAACATACTGCACACACTTTGCTTCACCACTTATGTACCTCCAAACATAGCAATATTGAACATATGCGTTTTGTTTTCACAAGTAATTTTGTTCTACAATTATCAACTTATTTGCTTATTTTGTGAACTCATCTTTCAATCCACCTGCAAAAGGATGCCTTTGTTCATCTATTTTTAAAAACCGACAGATGTAGTTATTGTTTTGCTGCATTGGACTCATCTGCTTATGAATACACTGCAAGGTGAGGAGCAATGTTACTGGGTGCCACAGAGTGGAACTGTACTACTTTACATTTCAGCATCATTTACTGATTGTCCTCATCATTAGAATTCAGTTTTGCTGGTACTATGCAGCTAATGATACTGCATTTATGCCACCTTGCATTGGAAACTGTGTAAGACAACACGTGCAGAAGATTCATATGCTCAGAAAGAGAAAATCTAATGACCTCTGAAGACACAGAAGAATAATCATGCAAAAAACCTACTGAGTGAGATTACTACGATAAAGGGCCCTGAATAACAACGGCATCCCTCTCTAGTACAGTACAGAAATATAGTAAAAATAAGCAAGAAGCTTTTTATTTTTGTGTGTTGGGTGTTGAATTGAATAATTTTGGCCTCTACAGGTTTCACTAGTACACAGATGAAAACAAGAATCTGTAAAAGATGAAAATAATCTCTCTTCCTATTTCTCAAAGTTGTATTAAATCACAAAATTACATCTCAGTAGTGGTTACAATGAGAGGAGTGGAAGTATTTCTCTTGTATATAATAATACTTAGTACAAGATACATAAAGAGAAAATTTAGAACCTACTCTGAATGCACAAAGTTTTGACACCAGGACCACTCATCAGGTCCCATTTTACTCTAAGGCAACTTTGATTGTTAAGTGTATTTCATATAAAATACCACCATAGTTCTTCAGTGCCTATTGCTACAGATTATTTTTTTTCTTTGCATATTGCTACAGATTTTAGGGTTGTTTTTTTATTCTTTTGCAGTCAACACCCCTGCACAGATTGCAAGAAAAAAGGCTACCAAAATGCAAAACGTTTAGCTTCTAGTCAGCTAATCAAAATTCAGACAGCCAGAAAAACATAAGCCTTCTTTAAAGCAAGACTATTTTACATATATGTGAAATCACAAACTCTAATTAAAGAATGGCTAAGCAACTTAATCACAAGATACAGTCAAGGCTTATATAGTTTCAATCTACACTGATACGTATAGAGAAAAGAAAATTGAAAGGAGAACCTTTTAATTTTGGCCTTCCCCCCCCCCCCCGCAATAGTTTCAGAGAAAAGGATATTTCTTACTATTCCCGGCGTTGTTGAGTTTTTATAGCCAACATAGGAAACAACACTGACTATCTATTTTTAAGTATACCGTAACTCAGATCTGCAGTGTTGATTAAATTTCCCTCCCCACTACATAGAATCAACCCCCTCTACAAAATTGTTTACTACTTATGAACACTGTACTATTTTAAACATGTAACTTCAATTGAATGCCTTTATTGAAAGAGACTATAAAATAGAGAAAGGAAAATAAAGCAAGAAACTGCTGGCAAAACTTCATAGGTCAAGAAATTATTTTAACACTTTCCAATACAAACGGGCAGACTCACCATCTAGGTAAGTATGTTGAATTTTGTTTAAGCACTTGGCCTCTAAGATGTGCTTTGGCAACGAATTTCATGGGCTAATTCTCATTTTGAATTAAGGACCACAAGTGAACACATTCTGCAGTCCTGGAAAGTCATTACAGCAATCCGAAGAAGATAAAGCAATTGTCTCAAAGTTTATTTTAATTTTGCTTTCCACAGTTTGCCAGAAGTGCTACAGGCTGGAAAGAAAATCAGCTAAATATCTGTTTGATACTTTGCCAAAAATTTTCTTACACAGTTTCCCTCCATCCTCTTCCAAAAAATTCCATGTACATTAGATACCATACAGCTGAACTACAAAAGCTGTTGTGTCTTCTCCAAGCCTGTATTTGAACTGCCATAGTGTAATCTGGGCTGCTCTTTCCTTTCTTCTACTAATATACGAGGAACGTTCAAGCCTGCCTGGATACAGAGCTAACAAGGCACTGAAAACAAGGGTCAGGCAGCTGTGCTTTAAGGATTCAAATGAGCCCGAATTAGTGTGTTTTCTTTTACTAAGCTTCATACACTTTATAAATGGAAGGGGAAAAAAAAAAAAAAATCACAATCTAAGTAGATGTTTATCATTATATAATTAAGATAATAAGAATGAATGTTTACAATGTCTATCCAAAAGGTTTTCCATAAAAGTAAAAATTGTGCTATGCTAAGTCTGTCACAAGCTTGTCTGTCAATAGACAACGTCGTATTGTGACACATGCTAGAACTGAACACTGGTTAAAACCTACGGTTTTTTTAAAACATTTATTATTTCTTATTCCTATATTTTTACTGGGTTGAAGAATTTTTCTGAAATTGCACTTGCAGCGCGCTCCTAAGGCCACAACAGTACTGTAAGAAAAGATTTCTATTTGAAGTACAGTCATATATTTATTGGCAGGAACGATGAATTCTCCATGCAACTCGTACGTCATCAGTGGCTCTGGAAGGCTTCTGCAAAACAAGGATGACATAATAAATTTAGCTATATTCTTTCCTATCTGTATTTAGTCTAAGCAGGAAACCTTTTTAACATTCAGTAGTATAATCTTTGCACTGGAGGCAACCATTGTTATGGTGGCCCTTGAATTCAATGATTTCCAGCGCGAATGGAAAACTTGGTATTATCAGGAAAATAAGACTAAATACATCCATTCACCTTCCATGAGCTGAAGTGATGTCTCCAGTCTATCATAAGGCACCTTTCCAAATTACACCACCAAGACTGTTTCTCAGATAAAGACTGTACACATACACTATGTAATTAATTCTTCATTAGTGTTTTTAAAATACAAAGAATCGCAAGTCAGTGCCTTACTGGAAAGAAATAAAGGTCCTAAAACAGTTAAGTTTGCTGAAAAGTAGCCATCCACAAATCAAAAAAATTCTAAATTTCAAATAGAAAAATTGAAATTGAAAACCTTAGTCATCAATGAAAAATGTACTGAATAATGGAAATCAGAGTTAAAACATCAGTTAAAACCTTCATTTATTAAATTGATTTTACTGATGCTTATGAAATATTAGAGTAAACACTCAGATGGGAAATACTGTAGGCAGGAAATACTTCATCATGTGCACTTTTTTTTTCTTTCCTACTTTTTTTTTTTTTAAATTCTTTCCTACACTCCATAAGAGAGACTTTTATCTTGATAATAGTTTTTCAGCATTCTTTGATAGTGGTTCCAGTAATACTTTATTTAATAAAACCAGCAGATTAAAAATACTGTAATTGTGTTACGCTACAGGAGATACACAAAAGTTCTGTGTTCTTAGGCAATTTAGTAAAATATCTTGATCAGGAATTGGTGAAGCCATTTGAACAGAGAACACATCTAAAATTCTTACTTTTAACACTCAAAATATTATTACTATTGCACCTAGAACATCAAAACAAGGGCCAGAAGGAAAAGAGGAAAATATTAAAAGTTTCATAACCTTTTCCCTTTCCATTCTACCACATTAAAACACAAAAAGGCAAAAAACTCTTAACAATCTTAGCTGACTTTCAGTAACAACTCTCAGCAAGTTTACTAACAATTCAGATTTCTGAACCGTCAGTGAAAAATGCTTACTTTCTAACACAAAAATGTTTTGGGGTTTGTCTTATATGAACATGAGTATTAGCGTTGCTAAATTATTTTGCTTCCCCCAAGACAAGTAACAAACATGGTATTTGCACAAAACGAACCTCTCTTCCAAAATATAGGAAAAGTAAGTAATGTAGCTTAACACACTGCATAGGAGAATTAGAATACAGAATTCATAGTCTTTAAAAAAAAAAAAATAAATAGATGAGACAGAGAGAGACAGGCTTACCGCAGATATTGCTTCATAGCACTAGTAATTGTCTTCACTTCCCAATCTACAGAGTTTTCCAGGTCAACTTCATTGCAGGTTTTTGCATCTAGAAAATAATCAGAAAGAGAAGAGGGACATGAAAAAAGGGAATTTAAATCAGTGTGCCCTACGTAAACACCAACACATTTAATTTGATCATTATGTATTTGCCCACATGAACATAGTCCTTCTTAAGTTCATACTAAGAAGACTTAATATCCAAACCTCTTTATAAATTCTATTTCCATATTTTGTTTTAAAAAGTATTTACTGCTGACTTTTTCTTTAATGAAGGATTAAAAATCACTTTCATGTAAAGAGATCTCTAAAGCAATTGGTATTTTGTATCACACCTTTAAACAGAAATATGTACACAAACACAAAGATGTACAAAAACAATTTAGAAAAAAGACACACTAAGCATAACTTACCTTTTCCTCTTTTCTTTCATTATTTAAAATGCAAGTACACTGAGAAATCTTTTTGAATTCTTCCCATAGTTTTGCTTGTAAACTGTTATTTTTGGACTGCTGATGAAAATAGCCAAAGTGCAGTATGACCCTCCTTACTGTGTGAAAACCTTTAAGAGGTGCTTCAAAAGTAGAAAAAGGACTCTTCTCTAGCAGTAAGTTTCCTCTAGAAGATGGCCTGAACGTTTCCCTTACTTGATCAGTTTTAGCCAAAGGGAGAACATGAGTATGTTCTTGCTTTCTTGACCATTTGTCAGGTTCACAGAACTCCTCCCATCTTTTACCAGGTTAGTTGGTAGAGTCTCATAACAAGACAGATCAAACTGAACGGTCGTATGTTTGAATGACCCATCAGGTGAAAGACTTTTTGACAGAACATAGAAAACAACACAGCACACCGGAATGTTCTACAATCAAAAAAAACCCTTTTGGCCTCAAAACAGGAAGCAATAGCTAGTTGACACAAGAAGATCACATGTATATGGCCAAAATAGCCAAATGTTTTTGGTAACTTCAAGCGCTTGAGCTTCTGTTATTATTATTAGTGCTACATGTTTCCGTCAGTCACTATAGTAAACTACAGCAGTAGCTGACACAGATTACGTGTTGACCAGTTCATACAATTCAGAATTCATTTGTTACTTTGCTTGTCAGACAAACGACAGGCACATTAAAAAAATCAAATTAGGATCCTTGATTAAAGGTGCAGTCCTTTTACTGGGACTAAATAATTCTGTTCTAAAGGCTGTGCCAAGCAATTATTTCTGTAACTGAATATTCTCCCTCATTGTATCAATTATTTAAATCTCATTTTAAAATACAAGTCAGATAACATTTTCTACCAAATTGTTACTAGCCAACCACCACTCAAAATACTCAAGATTGTCTCAGGAAAAAGTTTTGTTTTTCCTCTTTTTAGCATGCTAGCTGTTTCTGTGTTCAAGTTCTCTGTTTTGAGAAGAAAACATTTCTACTGAATATAATTAAATAAAAACTGCCATCACATCAGAAACTAGTGAAATCTATGGGGATTTTGTTACTAAACCACTATGTAATATCCAGTTTTTAAATAACTGCTTCATAATCACCAACCTCCTTTACAGTCAAAGGGTGCACTCAGTTATGTGAAATTTGTTGATGAATTTGGGGAGGAAAATAACAAGTGTCTCAATTGCAAGGCAAGCCTCTTAAAATAAAAAAATGGAAGGTATTGCTGAAATATTTCATTATCTCTTGGGAAAAAAAATTAAAACCCAACAAAATTTGGCCTTGCTACCAACCCCACACAATCCCTAGTTTGACTGTAGAAGCCATCAAGACTTAAAGACTTTTTTTTCACTTTTGGTTTGAATTTGCCCTACATAGCTCTGTGCCCCACCACCCTGTATATTTGACTGTATCCACTCCATTTTTCCCTCTACTTCAAACATCCCAGGCCATTATATGAACTGGAACTTCAACTGGGATTTCAACAATGACTCTACCAGTTTTCATGCTACTTGTTCACATAGCAGCCACTGGGCACTGAATGGCAACTTCACACATATAAAAGTAATCGCGCACATTTATGGAACAGCTTTTGACAGATCAGCTCTAAATTTTATGCAAATCTTTCTGACAATAAGGGAGCTAGAGTTTATAAAAACAGTCCAGTTCACTAAACTAGGTTAGGAGGAGACTCTCTGCTTTCATATGCAATATGCCCACTGTAAGGAGTGTATGCATACTGTCATTTACTGTATATAAAATAATAAGGAACTCAGTGTAATTGTTTTGAAAGCTGCTGGTTTTGAAAAGGCAGAGGTACCTAAAAGTTTTCTTCTACAACATATAATGTCAGGCATTTTTCACACCAGGCAGTATGAGAAATCAAAACTGAACTCTACAGTAGAAACTCCAAGTCCTTAGCAGTCACTTCACCACGAGCAAGGGTCTGTATGAAAGCTGACCTATGTATTTTGTATGAAATCTATGTAGGCAGCTTGTATGAAATGAGCCACACCAGATCTATAACGTAGATCATAGATGAAACAGGAATTGGTCCCTGAACTGAGCCTCCTGACGGTTGACAATGCACTCTGAATTGCTTATAACAGATTCCTGTAACATTGGAAGTCCTAACTCTGTATCCCTGTTTACAATGAGATAGCAGATTAATTTAACATTTTCCCTTGAAATGTAATGACTGTTTTCCTTACCAAATGCCTCACTTAAATTTAGACAAGATTATTGCTGCAAAATAGATCACCATAGCACAATACTAGTTACAAGTAACTTCAAGGACTCAGTTAATTGCAAAATTAACTTTTTTTTAAATGCACAATTGTATATTTAATTGCTGAGCCTCATTTTACAGAAGACTTACTTTCACTAGATTTTTACATTAAAGATGAAAATCTGTGCATTCATAGTATTAGAAAAGCATATATTGGTCTTCTCATACTCTCTTGACTCTCAATGTACTTTCCCAAATTTTATAAAAAATATTCTGAAAAAGAGACAAAACTACATGCTATTATGTCCCTGGTTACCATTTGGAAGACTTTTTTTTCCACTTTGGGCCTTTCAGACCGTGAACCTCATGGTCCATGATAGGTAGCTTAAAATACTTTGAAATCTTATCAAACATTTTAAAATACAGAAAGTTAATATGAGGTTTTTATGATTCTGAAAAGATCTTTCATATAGAAGGGTATCTAAGAGTATACCCAGAGACAAAGGATTAAAGATTAATCAGTCATTTTAAATTCTCTATACCACTGTGTATCAAAAAGAAACCGTCTTTATTCTTCTCTGAGGACAGACAGATAAAGAGCACAGATAGGATCGCTTTCAACAAATCATCAGAAAAAGAGCACCTGCTCGCACCCTAACTTCTTTCTGTTCAGTATTTTGCCTCATCTTCATACCACTGTATTCTTCCTACTTCAAATAAATATATAAATCTTGGGAATGACAAAAAATGTTTCTAATTTTAAAAAATAACTAAAAGCAGATGCTGGAATCCCCAGTAAACTCTTCCAGCTGCTACTGAACCACTGGCAACCTGAGTCTATTTAATTTGGATACCACTAATGGCAAAGAGGAAAATTTGCCTGCCAGACCTGCACGCCCAAGCTAAGCTAGTAAGTACAAAACTGAAAAACATCTTACGATATCAAATGCATCTAATCAAGACTCTCTGAGTGATAACACATCATTCTTCCTATGGGCAATGGCTAAAGATGGTTATTGTTTATTGAGGCTAACTCCAATACAGACAAACAACCATAAGAATCTGTTACAGATCAGTCATTTTTATTAATCCCAGTTCGTATTTCCAGAAAGAGTCTTTTGCTACAATACTTTAAAGATACAGGCAGGTTTATGTGCACTAATGGAGAACTTCAGGGTGCTGTTAATATTGATTAAAGTAAGATATCATAAATTAATATTTAGCAAGGTCATTATGACAGATTGATATGACATGCAGGTCCTCAAGCCTGATGTCTTATCGTTTCTGAAGAGACAGCCTGTTTAAAAAAATAAAGGAAGGAAAAGAGAAAGTCTTACAGGTGGCACTGAACTGACAGCAGCATATAATATAAAAGCGCTTTGTCATTCACATAATGTCTGGGGTAATGAAATGAATTCACTTTCTGGCTTCCTCCAGTTTGCAGTGCCAAAGAACACTGTGTTATCAGCACAGATGGAGCATGCATGGTTCTGGAGAAGAGCCTGGTGCAAACTGCAAACAAGCTTCTTTGCATACCAATGAATCCCTGAGAATCAGACCTTTGCTGTCAAGTGACAGGTTTGGAAGCTCTATAAAAATGAACTAATCCCAGTGGTCTTGTCTGACTGCATGTACTGTCAGTGCCTCAGGACAAGCAATTGGGAAACTCGGCACATCTTGCAGTCATGGCTACTACTTTGGTGAGAGATATCAGGCAGATGAGGGATTTCATCCAGGTGCCAATGCTACTTCCCCCCCCCCAGGGACAGTAGAGTAGCAAGAGAACTACAGTCACACTGGGATTAAAGATGCATCAAAATTTCCAGAAAGAAAAGGAGAAAAAAAGTTTCTGAGAATAATTTTATGAATCAAAAAAATCTTAAAAGTACACATGGCTAACTAGGTATAAGAGAGTCAAAGATGTTACCCACATATAAGAGCTATACTACTAAGTTTATAAAAACAAATCCTTTCTCCATCTGTCTCCCGCCTTGGCACATAGTTATTATTAATACATATATCATATTCCTCCTCTTAAACCAAAGAGCTCTTTGCCAGTAGGCTTAAACTAAATGTCTTAATTTGCACAGTGATTAACTAAAGACACACATGGGCGTGTACACCTGTGCATCTTAGAGAAGGGAGAAGAAAGGTGGAAACTTCAAACAATGAAGCAATAAGCTTCAAACTTTCGTGAATTTGGTATTTTGAATTTTCTGATCAGACCCTTCAACTTAGGCTGCTTTAATCCCACTTACATCAACCTTGCACAAAGCCCATGATTTGCTCCTACATGTCCCACAGCAGTTCTCTTTAGTTTACTCCTACCAACTAATCTTGGTCTTGCTAAACCAGAGAAACTTACAATGATACAGGGATTATTTACATGGACTAAAGCAAACTAGATTTGGCCCATATAAAGAACAACTACAGGCAGATGCTTTTAAAATTTACAGTAAAACAACATGAGATAAAATATTGAAAAAATGATTGTAAAATAGAGGCATACCCATCAACAAACTCAGAAGTCTCTGGACCTTTGAACTCACCCCCACAACTCTGTACAATCCTTGGTCATTTATACCTACAATGCAAAAGGAGAAAAAAAAAAAAACATCAGATCAACCACAGTCAAATTTAGCATTAAAACTTTTCCCCAGGCAACAAATTCTCCTCAAAGACAGACAGACTACATAGCATTAACACAGTTGTGAGAACAACATTATAAATAAAGTATTGCAAGAATCCTTTTGTTCTTCTGTGTTTTTAAGATAAGTTCACGTTATGTTTTGGTAAAGGTTTGATGTACCTCAATCCACTTCAGAAACTGGGAGTAGAAGCAAACAGGGCCAAACCTTTGCTTGAAAAAAAATCACTGCCTGTTTTCAGATTTTTTAAATGACATTTTGGATACATCAGCATCCACATTCTAATAACGCAAGAACTGAACCAACAAATGCTAAATTAAGATTTCTTTAATAAATGTAATTTTGTTTTTTTCCCAAATATGTGGCTGACAAAAAGAGTTTGGATAAAATAAAGAAAAAATTGAGCCTATTCCCAGTCCTCAAAAAACAATCTTTTTTCACATTTGTAAATGCTTTTCATTTAAGATATGAGGCCTCATTCCAACCCACTGTGGTCCACATACTAGTTACGTCCAGGGGCAGCACCACAGGTTACTGAAATCGGTACTTCTGGTTTTCCTTGGGATGAATAGAGTAGCCATAACCAGCATAATATTTTCAGTCCCCTACTCTCATTTCATGTGGACACTGGACCACTCTCCCGTCATTCCTCTGCGCCCTTCCGTCCTCTCACACACATTCACTTCTCTACCCCTTTTCTTCCCCTGCGTTTGTCTTCCTTTAGCACACCCAGTCTTATCCCCAGGGAAGTAAAACTATGAATACAGATTGAAGGAAAACGGGAGGGAGAGAAGGGGCAGGGAAGAAAAAGGGCAAAATAAGGTATGTCTTTGTCTGCTGCATTGTTTCAGAGCCCATATAGTGGGAGGTAAAATATTACAGTCCTGAAGCTGACACAGATGTTTGAGAGGCCACATAATAAGCAGCCATCTACAAACACCACCATACTCTACCTCTATATTCACACTGGCCTGGAAGAGTAGAAACGCCACAAAATACCCGTGTTTCTACTCCAAGGAAATCTTTTCAAATAACAGATTATGTGGCATTCTTATTCAAAATATCCTTCAACAAAGGAAGACTTGTGGAGAATTCCCAGTTTCAATATCAAACCGTTCCAACCCAGAGTAGGAAAATTAAAACCAGTCGTATGAGAAAAAGTTTCTTCCCAAATAAATATTAGCTGAAGTATGTAAAAATCATTAGCCTTTTAATGAATTACTGTCAGACACAACCATAACACACAGCAATAATTCTCAATACGGTGGCGAGAACTTCGCATTTTCTACCTCCTCCTCCTGCCTAGCCTTGCCACATCTTTTCCTTCTCCTCTCACCCCCTCCTCTTCCTCACACAGTCTGCAGCCTCCTCAGCCATCCCACATCTTTGAGAGCCTGCTGAACTCCTCCCTGTTAGCACTGCTCCACCCTCTGTCCCAGCGGGGAGCTGACAGGCTATGGCAGAAGCTGCTACCTCCCTCAGTTGCTCCACCTGGGCAAAAGTGGCCCTTTTCTTTCCCCGGGATGCAGGCACCACTGTAATGATGCTGACTCTTAAGCTAGATGTCATGTTCAGAGCTGGCTCAAATTGACAGAATAAGCCAGATCTCCAGTATTTCATTTGCGGTCATCAAAAAACACGACTGTAGAGTATGCTCGCAGTTTAGCTGCGCGCAAAAGAAAGAACCGCAAAAACCAGCTATGTGGCCACAAATTCCTCTCAAAATATGAAGTTATCAACCCAACCAAGTTTTCCAGTCATCCCCAGAACAACAGCGTGATAGCATGCTATATGCCACTTAAAGACTGCCAACACTAAACAAAATTAAACATAGTCCTTGATTCACTCCAAACATGGATGCACTAGGAATCTGTCCTGAGAGCAGCAGTTATTTTTTACTTCAAATTTCTCAGAGGTGTCCAGGAAAATTCTGGTACAAAAGTAACACCAAGCTTTTTAATGCTCTGCCAAAATGCATCACACTTTTTTTATACAATGTCCTCCACTACTTTCAGTACCACAGAACAAGCCTTCTGCATCGTATGCAAGAAGCTAAAAAGCTGAAGAAATACTGTCACAGTCAAATACAGCTCAGCTCTTGCTTATCTCAGAAGTTGTTTCATGACCTCCTGTGCCTCTGACATTAAAACTAGGGGGAACCAAACCGTGCTGACCCCAAACACACATTTATGGGCTTAAAAATAATTAAGGTCAAACCACAGAAACTACTGCTCAATATTAAAACAGACGTGATATGCAAAAGTCTGAAATTATGGCAGTATTGAAACTAAGACAATCCTCCAGCAATAATCATGAGTCTGTGATAGTAATTATCAGATAATTGATCAGTTTCTAATTCATCAACCTGAAAAAAGCACGGCTAATTGCTAGCAGACATCAAGAAGTACAAAGAGGAATTAATATTTCAACATAGTTTTAAATGATATCTTTAAACATACCTTTAAATGACGTTTTATTTAAAAGATACAAACCTGGTTTGAAACAGTACTATTTCTGATTTAATCTGCACATTTCAGATCTTCAGCACATCCAAGACTGATAATGCTTGGCATTTACAGAACACAATTGACAAGATGACTCATTGCAAGGAATAGCTTACCACTGACTAAAATGTTGAAGGGTTCAGATGCTGCGTCTGCCGGCTCAACCAGTCACTATTGGCAACTTTGAGCGGTAAAGCCCCACAGCATAATTTCCTTCATATTTACATTATCTCAAGATGTTTGGCTGTCTGATACCGGAATTTGGCACAGGTACACAATTAGTGAAACATGCTTAGAAAAATAAGGTATATTTTCTAATTACTAGTAAAATAGTAATTTATACTACTGTAAGCAAGGTATGTAGGCAAGTTTCCTTTGTGGCTGGCATTGTACATGTGGCTGACACAGACTAGTAATATAGCTGCAAATACAACTTCTTGTATCAAACTCCACAGTACCAAAACAGCCATCCAAGTGACACTCTAAAGTCAAGGTAATGCCAGATTTTTTTTGTTACGTGAAAAGGTTTTCTACTTCCTCCTCACCATCTTCTTTCTTTCTCGTAAGCAGACAGACTGGACAGACAGCTCAATGCTGCCATCTATCTCTGCAGCTCAGATTAGCAGCTCCAGTAGTTCTAAAATGAAGACAAACACCGCTCTGGCAAACACTTACCTACCACATCCTCACAGAAGGTACAACCAACTACTTGCACACAAAAACATGCACAGAGTCTTTACTACCAGAGCAAACAGCTCTTTGATGTTTCTGTAAATTTCACCCTGCTGTATTATTCTTAGTACAGAATCATTTATTTGGGATAAATAAAAAATTCTGTCTCCAAACAGAATCCCAAAATGTTCTCTCAGAGACAAAACATGGGTGCACATCCAACCAGCATCATGCTCAGTACGTGAGAGACAGGCTGCATATCTTGGTGCCTCAGCCTCTCCTACCAGATAAAGCACAGCCAATGTCTCATAAGGCAACGCTGAATCAGAAGCTTACATGCATTTTAACCATGACACTGCCTTTGATTCTTCTATTCATTCAAAGCAAATAATTTCCTTCTTTGCTTTATAAAAGGGAACGTAACTGAGAAAAAATTATCCGGCCATTGACAAGTTTATGTTCAATATCTCTTTTACGCTCTTCTCTCTCTCAATACCAGACTTTTTCTGCTATGACATGACAAGACTATTCTCAGTTTCCACCCACACTAGACTGTCCTCTCTTTCCACCCACGCCAACCTCACACCCATTATGATTAAAAGAGATAAAAACATGGCACACAAGCACAGTCTCTGAAGAGGCATCTGTCCTGTTTTCTTCTGCCGAACATAACTTGCCTTTGATGTGTTATCATTAAAGTAAAATAATCAAGTAGAAATTGTTTTACGAACAAGTATAGGTATAAAATCTGCAGCCTGAAAGATGGATTTTCTTCATCATACAACTATTCGGCCAAACCCTTCTGAGGCAAGCAACTGAATGTTCTCCCGGCCCTCCGTTTGTTTAGCTCAGCAGACATTAGCAGAAGGTCCTGCAGGTTCTGCAGAAAACAAACTGATCCTTTAGGAATGCTGCAATTAGTCTCATGGACGAAGTCAGGATTTTGTTTGTTAGGCTTTTTTTTTTTTTTTTTAAATGCAGTTGATGTTAAGTTCAGTATTGATAAACAGAAAATCATCAACAACTGCTTGAAATGCAATGGACGAATCAAGTTCATTGAAACAGAGCTAGGTGGATTGCTGAGTTCCTGGAAGGTAGTACCTCACCTAAACCCATTCTTAAAACCCTGGGAAAAGAAATATTTATTGAATACTGATTTTTTTTTTCTTAAGTACTCCCCAAAAACAAAATTAATAAATAAACGTCATTTTCATTGGTAGTAATTACCACAAAGCACTCTGTTGACGGCAGGTCTTACAAAGGCTGTGTACAAGGGATAGTGAAGCTGCAAGGTCTCCAAAGACAGGAAATACTGCAGCTAAATTTGGTAACTTTAATTCTCTTCCAAGTATGCTTCAGGGCAGATCCCACTAGAGGGACACATGCTTCTAATCTATGCAAGCTTATCATCTGTCTTGAACAACAATATTAGGTGGGGTTACACATATATTTTGCGCCTTCTTACATGCCCCTAAATCAAGGCATAAAGAACAGGGTGGACTTGAACCACCACTCAGTTTAACCTATCCACCCACAGCCATGAGAAGAAACCCCATATCTAACCCATTTTTCCAAACAGCCACTTCGTGAAGAAAGCGTTCACACTTTTTCCACAGTTATGTTCTTGTTTCACTTTCCTTGCAGGGTATCAAAGAAAGAAAAAAAAAAAAAAAGACTACTTGAAGAAAAATATTTGAATGCACCTATAGATAATAAACCAGAATATAGTGTACTCCACACTGCTTACAGTAAGCATGATTCATAAGGTATTGTAAGGTAACCAGTCACTGTGCTGTGGACCACAACCAGCCTTTCATTACATGACATGTTACCCTTTTCATAAAATCTGCCTCATCCAGTGCAAAGAGAAGATCCATGCTATATCAAAGCAGGGTTTTGCAGCGAAGGCAACTTATCTGTAGGATGCCAGCTTTATCTGCAGTGTTTCCCAGCTGAAATATTCAGATTGTAAATGCCAGTAACTGAAATTTTTAAAGTGATGAGACAGGCAAACCTCATTTAAAAAAATATTCAAAAGAACAGAATGAACAAAAATAACACCAGATAGAATATGGTCTAATCTGGAATAACATCTTTAATGCATCAGACAGGACTGATACAAAACAGTCCACGAGAAAAAGGATTTCAGATACTTCTTGCTGTTTAAATGCTAAATTCTCAATAACACAAAGGCTGCTCGGTCTTACTAATAATATCGTATAGTAAGTGCATACATGGAAGACTGCTTTTAAGTAGGACCCTGCATTGACAGGAAGTTTGACCAACCCATTCTTCTGTTCAGCTATCTTATTTAAGCTGGACTGTGATACAAGGAAAGAGATAAATGTTCTGCCCTGTGCAATGCTAAATCTCTAGAAAAAAAGATACAATTCCTCAAAAATCATAAATCTCCCCTTTGGGAGCAGGAAGAAAGGTCAACAATTTAGGAGAAAAACAAAATTCACACAGAGAAATTTCAACATCTCTTTTAACAAACTAAGAAATACACTGTAACCAATTACCTATTTTCATCTCTTCACCTCTTTTAAAAAAAAAAAACAAAACCTAACAATCACAACCAACTAAACAGATTCTTCACACAATACCATATACAACGCAGTGAGCCTCAGAGTGGCTGGTCACCTCACATTTCAGCATATCCGTACAGGGATTGTTGTCTCCTCACATGGCAGCAGTATCAAAAGCTGATAGTATCCAGTGCCCAAGTTACACAGGCTCTGTGACACAGAGCCTCTCCACAATCATAACCGCAACTGCCTCTTGAATACCGTCTGCATACTGACCTTTCTCTCTCTCTACTGTCTCCAGTTTTGGAGGTACAACAATGAGTATATGCAACAGTAAGCCTGACAGCATCCTTGTCTCTGGTGTAAAGCTAACTCCACTGGAAGTACTTCAATACTTTTTGTTATTCACTTGCCTGCTCAGCTCCTGTTCTTCTGTCTTAAGTGACTAAACAGAAAACCTCCATTCAAAGTCCACAAATGGAATACTAAAATTAGTCTGTTCCAACAGCAAAGCAAAGGTACAGGAATTGCCTACAAGACACAGGTTTTTTTCTCAGCTGTTGCACACAAACATTGGCTTCCTTTGTCAAGAGAGGTGCTATTATCCCCTTCTGAGCACTTCTTGAAAACATGTTTCTTGAGGGAAAGCCATACATAAAAAGGCTGGGACTGGACAGAAGGAAGCTGCTGCCTTGGTCAGTGTAATCAGCGTAAGTAATATCTACCATGTTAAGTCTTTCCCAGAGATCCACAGGAGACTAGATCACACAGGCCTTCGTTGAAGAGCAGACCAGCTGCTCCACCCCCTCCACAAACAGGTTGGGTTGATCATTACCTCGCGTTTCAACAGCACTGATGCACTTTTTGATGACGGTAAATCCTATCTTATCCAATTGTGCACCTACAAGGGGAAAAAAAAGTTTGAAAAGTTTTAAAGCACCATTACAATTACGTCTTTCACTGAAAAATAAGGCTGGACTTAATCACGTAGCTAGTACTTCTCAGGCAAAACTGTAAATATTCTGGAACAGGAATATTTCATCACTTTTTCTAGAGAAATTCTCCCTTTCTCCTTCACAACCCTGCCTAGCCCAAGTAAAGGCTCAGTCAGGTGGTAGTGGCTTCACTGAATCTGTTCACAGCAGCAGCCTTTGAAGAATGGTATCTCTGATTAGGTACATATGTTGGCAGATGCAAAATGGAATTTAACAGTACTTAGTGCAACATCGACAACATCAGAGAGTTAACCAAATGGGACAAGGAAGTACTTATGATGAAAGAACATAATCATCAACAGCAGGGCCTTTACTGAGTCCTACCCTAAGCCAAAGAAATTCCCACACTAAAGATACAGGACACATGTATATCATTTCACAGCAGTTAATGATCTGACTACATAAAAGCAGATGCATTAACAGGACAACAGCTGAGATCCAGCATTCCTTTGTTGTTCCTATCTTATTCTTTTTCTTCACATCAAAACTTCATTTAAAAGCTTATATTGCAAAACTGCCCTTCCCCCAAACATCTGGCCTTCTTGCTCCTGGGGACCTGGTATTGCACCACGAAAATAAAAATCTGTGGAAAAACTTCAATTAATAACACCAGGATCCAGCTTTAACCAACAATTTAATAAAAAAAAAATAAATAAAAGCAAGCATAAATTGCCTGATAATGCAAGAAGGATAACTGCTTTCACTCATATACTTTGCTAACAGAAGAAAGCTAACGTCGTTTAAAGAAAGCCATCTCTTCTATTTCCATATTGTAGAATATGGAATACATTTTAAATACATACATTCAGGTTTTTTGCTTACCTTTATGTTCAGCTGTGATTGTTTTTAAAACCATACTTATGCATTCTAACAGACGTGTACGCACAATCTGGATTAAGAAATTGTGATGCATTTCACATACAAATTAACCCTTTTTTGAGTCAATTTCAAGCATGAAGTAAATTGGCAAAAACAATCAGACTGTTTCTCTAGTTTATGTCCAGTCCTACAATTCTTAAGTATGTACTAAACTGTGTTACTGTGAAAACCCATTAATTACAAAATCCACAAAGTTTATTCAGAACTTCAGACTAAAAATAACATATTTAATTACACTGGATCCACAGAAAAAAAATTACCTTTGCCTTTCTCAATTGTAAAATGTTAACAAAAATCAGCTTTAATAGTAATTCAAATACTTACTTCCCTCTCGTTTTGCATTTGCTCTATTCAAATTGATGAACAGCTAACGCAAAAAGAGTAAAAAGACATAAATTATTTTAAAGAATTTTATGAAACCAGAAACAAGACACCCCCCAATCTTAATGCCCAGTAGGCACAAATACAGCTGTTTACAGCTACAACATATCAGCTCTAACTACAACAGCTCTAACAGTAGGACCAGCGGTCCGCGCCCCCTCAGAAAGTAGATACTTGCACTTTTTAAGGAGTGAAATTTTAAAAAAAATTCTCAACAAATACAGTTCCTTGGGGAGCAGAACAATGTTAGTTATAGCCACTAAAATTAACTGTGATTTACGTGCTCCATGTTCCTATGTTTCTCTGGAGGTTAATTTCCCACAGTTCAAGTTCACTCAAATCATTGTGAACTGCTTTGATGAATCCTGGGAGTTATGTCCCAGCTTGGCATTCCCAGAAGTTGTAAGCTTACTGGGGAGTCCAGCTCAGACAACGTGGTTTTTACAACAATGATGTCAATAAAACCTACTGCTAAAATCCCCAGTAGCCAACTACTGGGGACAGACACATGATTGTGTCATTGACTAGAAACCCCATTATTTTTGGCCCACAAGACCAATATAATACTTATGATTGTAAGAATAATCTGCATTGTGTTTCAATTTTGCAGTTCAGACCCGTTTCCTGATGTGAACCAGAAATTAAGCAAATTCAGCTACAACCTCATTCCCATTGACAAGGAATTTTTTGATCTAGTGTTAAAAAAAATATATAATAATAATAATAATAATACCCTATAACTAACTCACGCAAGTCTTTCCATTGGAATGCAGTATGTCAGCATAAGGCTAAGTGGACATGCTTATACTAGACATTTTCTAGAATACCAATATCATCATTGTGATGGGAAACCATTTTTAAAAAATCGATGCTGTCATTACAATGAAAAATATCTCATATCAGCATTAGCAGTTATCTATGTTGAGCTTTACCGAGTTACTCATCTCTCCTGAGTTTTATTTCACTTTTATTCTTTCTTCATTGAAACTATCATTTTGCAAACTACATGATCCCAGTTTATTAAAGCATAAATGGGATCAGGAAGCAGGAGGTGAGAGAATTTCTCCATTACACTATAAATGAATATAAAAAAAATTGACGCTTACAGCTTCTTTTCCATCCAAGGCTTCCATCCACAGCTTCCTGTCTTCCTCAGAAAATGCCTGCATGGTCACAGGAACTCCAGGCCTGCAAATGTACCAACGACACAGAGTAACTGCATTCACCAGCAACTAAAATGTCTTGCCAAATTCTACTTCCAACTACAAGCAAAAGCCCATTGTCCTAGAAGTCAGGGTTGGGTTTTTTGCTTAATTGCTGAACACTGCTCAGCTTTAAAATAAAAGGTATAGAACTGATACACACAGTAGGAAATAGGGAGGATAGGGAGAAAAGGAAAGTGAATGTGATCTGCAAACTATTTATTTGAAATAGCTCATTGTTGATAACTTGTTGATTCCAACACTTGCTGGGAGTTACTGAGTTTTCTGAATTCTAAATAAACTTGCTCTTGCGTTGCTCTGCTGTTACATAAAAATGGCTTTTGTCAACTTATTCGATATGTAGTCTTCAGCTTTAGAGCAGCGACAGTGATTATATTTTTCCGTAAATATCTCACAAAAAATAATCAAGTCTTAATGCAGTATCTCATTACAAAACTCCACTATTATAACTTTCCTAAAAAGCAAGGATTAACAACTGTGGGACGTAGGGATTAGCGAACAGAGATTAACATAAATCTACTTTTGTGTTTATATAATAGGAAACTAAAAAGAGTAATTGTGTGGTTCAGGATAGTGTACAAAGCAAGGAGAGTTAAAAGCAGAACAGGTTATTTGGGTAATTATTTTTCTGCCAATTAAAAAAAATCATTATATTCAGCCTGCCAATAATTTTGGCAAATTTGTAAATCTCATTATACAGAGATGGATAAAAATAGAGAACTAATTCATAACATTCTCTCTCTCTCTCTCTTTTGTATTAAATCTATCTTCAAGTAGCAAAATAGCTGTAGGGGAAAATGTTATCTAAAAACAACAGCACAGAGAAAACCAGCACAAATCCCACTTTTACTTAAAACTGTAACAGTCTACACACCATGTTCATATTTTTACAACTAGAGCCATAAATTTTATCAAACCACACAATTTAATTGCAGCTTAAAACTCTATAGGTACAAATACCTCCTGCTCAAAATCTCTTTTCAGACAACATGTGAGGACAAGGCAAGTACATGCCCTCTAGCAAACCAGTCTAAACTCAGGAGACCCAACTATAACTTTGGAAGACGGCAGAAATCAAGCAAGTCATTCTCTTTTGATTAGTTAAAGCGAGGAGACTATTAAGCCATAAAAATGGAACCTCTTACTATTCTCAGTAATAGACATTGAGCTCTTAAGAGTGGGTGAGGGAAGCCTTGCCTTAATTTCTGCAACTAATAACCTTTATGATTAAAACAAGCTGATATTGGTATTAGTAATAACAGTAAGCAAAGCAGCTTCTCAAGCCATACCAGCTTTTTTCAGTGCAAATTGGTCTGCTAGTAGCGCAGAGCTGTAACCGTCATAAACATGCAAACTTAATCACTCAGTAGAAAAAAATATCCTAAGTAATTAGCTAAATTAACTAAAAAAAACACATGCTGATTTGTTTTTTTCTTGTCTACTTTCTTTTACTAGTGAAAACTAAAACTAAATGAGTTACTTCTATGCAGGGCAAACTTTCCTTCTTTTCACTAAAATTATAACTGTCAAGGTATCAAAGAGTATCACCTTGAGGCAATACATCAAACTCAGTATAAGCTGCATGAAACATTATTTATTTGTCTTCAAATTAAAGTCAAGAGCCTCAAGCCTTCCCTCCTCCTTGTCCTGTATTGGTAAAATTAAAATCTAAGTAGTATTTCAGAAGGATAATGCTCTTTATCAATAGAAAGTCTTTTTCCTACCCCGAAAGACCTCTGCTGTCTCCTTAAGATTTAAATTTCTCTACATTTACCAGTAGTCACCTCCAACTAAATATGATGGAGTACTAGAAACAGAAAAACATCACTTTCCAGAGATTTAGCCAGGATCCTAGCACCCTCAGAGCTTATAGTCATAAGTATCAGAATTTAAAGAAAAAAAAAATCATCTCTGCTTTCTTTTTAAAAGAAAAATCTGTAAATATTCAGCTAGCTCCAAACTATGCTCCAGTCACGCACAAGGCTGAACGTTTGCTGCTGAAAAGTCCTTCCTAAAATTTTACAATCTTGCCTCCTTCCACACCACAGGAACAAAGAAAACCCCATGGCCAGCCATCAACCTGTATGTTATTTTTTAACTTGGACAAGCTGAGGGATAAGCGTGCCCTGAACTGATAACCAAGGAAACAAGCTAATGGCCTGCAGCACAGAACTAATCTCCATGGGAACATCTCAGTACTACACACATATATTATTAAAAGAAAAATGTCTGATATCAAGGTCGCAGTGGACCAGTTGTCTCTATTATATCTGGACAGAAAGATGGATTACATTTTTCCCACTTTTACCAGAGAAGACAATGAAAAAATGTTTTGCAGGATCAAGGAAACACTGCTCTCCATCCATCTCTGTTCAAACTCCAGATACCCTATTGAGCAGAGGTGTCACACAGAGGGGGGTAGACTGACATTTCTCATTGTACTTTTTTGACCAACTTTATCAGACTCAGTTTGAAATCTGTTATTCGTACTGACCAATACACTGACCCAAGAGGAGCTGATGTCAAGAGTTTAAATCTTTAGTCCCCTTCCTACTGTTGGGACACAGCGTTAGAATAGTTAAGCCACATCCTCCTCAAATCAAAAATGCAAGTTCAAACCATGCTGTAGACTTGTGACAAATGCCATCTGAGCTGTAAATGTGTATCTTGTCATCTGCATGCGAGCTGGAAGTTTTCAGGTGCAGTGGTAGTTTCGCATTCCTTTACCCATTGCTTGTTACAGAAACCGGCATGCCTCAGGCAGGCCAGTCTGACTGGCCACGCAAGCTAGGCATAGCCTCTGACCTACGACTGTGCGCGTGCATATGCTCCTTATCACAGACATATTTGCAGACCACTAGCAATCATAGGACAGAGGGGCCTGACAGCATTGGCCACACTGCATTTAAAGTGAAGGGCACTATGAATTTGATCGGAAAAAAACCCAAAAACCTATAAAACTTGAAGACCTACTACATGATAAATTAGAATGTAATTAATTGGTATAAGTAAGGAGCAAACGTATTGGTTAAGAACAGCTCAGAAGGGGTGGATGCAAAAACTCAGCAACAGTCCACTAACTTACATCTAGCATTTAATGCTAGATACGATCCCGTTCTGCACAGATACAATCTGCACCAAAAGAACATGGCATTACCACAGCCGTATTTATTTGCAGTACCCTATTAAGTTGGATTCTCTCACCTTCATAAATGAAGGAAGACTATAATGCTGACGAAAAGCAATATTTAAGATATTTTAAGACCCTTTTAGTGAAATAAATAAGCAATTCTTCTCCTTTGAAATAAAGCAGCAAAATGGTGGTGTTTCAAAAAGGCGGTGGCAACAATGTTCAAGATGCACTGGATGATTACACCAGCCACAAAAAGCCTCAAAATCCCAATGATCTTATTTTCAATCTGAGAATCCAGCATAAACCCACAGCAACATGTCATTTTGGAAAGCAGGCTTGTGATACAATATGATCATGACTGTATGAATTATTACTGTGATCGTAGTCTTTCACTATAGCTGTATGTACTTCAATTTAAGCCACGTTTCTTCACTACGATAACCACAATTCATAACAGTTTCTCTAACTTTTTCTATGCTTTTCTTTTACGTGAGCTCAGACAACATCTACATTTCAGTTTAGATCCTCCCTGCTTCTGCTACACACAACTGAGGTAAAATCCAGTGAGCCACGGCAGTGCTTGCCTGCTCCTCCAGTGACTATTTCCTATTGGCAGTCTAAACGAGAACTGAAAAAATAAGAAGACAACACAACAGTAATATTACAGTAATCTTAATTACTACTTAGAAAGAGTCCTTTCTAGTGTGTTTCACGAGCTTACCTGTCTGAAGCTTCCAAGTCAAAACAGAATCGCCTGTCTATAGTATCTATATTTCTTTTGGTACAATACGTAAGGACGAAAAGTTCCTCATCACCCTGTGAAAAGAAAGGTTTTATGTGCTTGACCCAGTAACTGAAAGCTTCAGTAAGCCAGCTATACAAACCAAGTAAGGTAAATTTACATTAAAATAATGGCAAAAGCTACACTGAAAACAGACACTTGCAAAAGAGTTCACTCATGGTTGCCATTCAGGCCTCTGCACAATAGCACATAAATTCCATGGTCATTTACGGGACATAAATGCAAAAATACTGAGTCCATTTTAGCTGGTACTTTACAGTACCACAGTAATTTAAACTAACAAAAATATTTTGCTGTAAAGATTTTGTACATGTTGCAATACAAGCACACAATGAGTTTAAGAGACTTCTCCCATTTTATGTCAGACATAGCAATTTCTGTAGTAAAGGCTATTGCTACAGTAACTACAACAAAGTAAGTGTTCTTTACTATCTGTAATCTGTCTTACAGAACCAGTCCTTTCTTCAAGACCAACCAACACTAGGATCATATTTTACCCTTAAGTATTCAGAAATCAAATAAACTCATCTGTGAATGCTGCATGAGTTGTACCGGATTTAGTCAGGATTAACTGTACATTTTAATTATTTCTTGTCTCATTCAACATCTCGAGACACAGGAGGTTGTCACTGAAGGAGTAACTGCATTGTGGGTTTCAAAATGGGAGATCTTTTAATACAGAAAAAATGGCTTCATAAGTGTTTTAGAATGCCGAATGCTTACACACATACTATATTAACTAAAATGGCTTATTACAATTAGAGTAAATCAGGATAAAAAATTCATAGAAGTACTGAAATGATTAAGGAAGCCAAATGCCACTAATTTTCTGTATGGCAGGTTTTCCAGAGCTTTTGAAAGATTCTTCCAAATTCAATGTATTTGCAAATATAGACAGCCCTCAAAATGATGAAAGCCATCTCCCCCCTGCTCAAACTAATAGGATATAATACCCTGATAGAATTCCAACAACGTGATTTTCTAACCAAATTTGAAGATAGAGCAGGGTGCTGCATTTACAGGAATATTGACTCAAGCATTATTTTCCAGCTTCAGCTATCCTTTTTCCTTGCAACAAAATGCATTTCATCCATATTAATGCATTCATTTAATGCGTCATCTCTGAAGGTGCTGAGTGCCCTCAATTCCCAACTATTTCAATAGGAATTAAAGCCATTTAAAGATCAACAGAGTCTTGGGTCCTGAATATTTCAGATGCCATCAAAGATATCTGAAATTACATTCAGTTGTCAGTACAAATTATATTCCCATTAAAATCCTCTTTTCTAGTCCCTCTTCCAGTACTTACATCTCTGAAAGAAAAATCTGACTGGAGCATGTAAGAAAGAAATTTCTAAGTCTACTGTATTTTCCTGATTTATACTTTAACAAGTTAAATGCCTCATGGATAAACCAGATTCTAAATGGTGAAACACTGCACGTTATCTGTACCATGTTCTCCGGTCTTCTAAAAGGAAGCAACTGAATAGTCTGCAGAATTCTTATCTATTAATCCACCCGTTACTTTAGGCTAATATCATTAAATGGCAGACTGAATTGCATGAAGAAAGAAGAAAAAAGGGGCAAGGAGGTAAAGAGGAAAAGTACTTGACACATCTTATCTGACGCATCCTCTGATCTTGATACAGGGTAAGTATAAGAGTAGAATATAAAAATATACTTACAACTTTCCCTCCTGATCTGTGTTCAAATGGGATCATGGTGAACTTCTTTGTCTCTTTCCTATACATGCAATAGTGCTTCACCCAACTGGAACCAAAGGGAGCAGGCCCTACATAAAATGGAAGCATTAAATAGTATGTACTTTTTCCAGTTTGTGTGTTTTCTTCTCCTGCTTTCCAAAATGATACTTGAGTCCTACTTAATTCCTAATAATGCAGTATTTAAAACAAAGGTATGAATTAAGAACATTATACAAAGTAATACAAATGTTAACCAGTGCTTACTATTCTAAAAACTGATATATGTAGTAATTCACATTTATGCTTAATGACAAATGGAAAGAATTCTTAACGTATCTTTGTCTCACTACTACAGACAAAATAATTTTTCCCTATAAAATAAACATCCCTTGGAAACTTTACTTCAGCAGAACATGGAAACCTAGTTTTACACTTGGTAACTTGAAGCTAAATAACTGCAGATTAACGCACCTGTGTTGCAAGCTCTACATTATCTACTGATTAAGGTCTGATCACATTTTCTGACACCAAAACTCACTCCTAACTATTCATCAGTGCACACCCTACATAGAATACATTTACTTAAGAGCCAAGCCTACTGCATACAGTATTATTGAGATTTGCACCATAACGTTAACTGTTAAAACTTGGATTCTGACCCTCTCTATCTTCTCACTTCTATTAATTTACTTTTTTAAAAAAAGGTCTGCAAAGGAATCATCTCTTTTGAAGGACTCTGCCCCAGAGTATCAGGGAAGCCCTTCACGAGTGGCTCAAGCTGACAGAGGATTTCATTGCTCCTAACCTGGAAGGTCTCACTGCCCTGCTCCTCCCCAACTCAGCTTCAGGCGTACCCGCTTCTTCTGAATCCTTTCAGCTGATTATAAAGCTCATGATGACCAAGACCAGTGAACGGATCTCACAGAATAATGATTTTTCTTATTTTTTACTGCTAGTTCTCTTAAAACTTATTTCTGAACACTGTAATACCAATGTGTCCTGGTTTCGGCTGGGATAGAGTTAATTTTCTTCCTAGTAGCTGGTACAGTGCTGTGTTTTGGATTTAGGATGAGAACAATGTTGATAACACACTGATGTTTCAGTTGTTGCTAAGCAGTGCTTACACTAGTCAAGGACTTTCCAGCTTCCCATGCTCTACCGACTGAGAAGGCTGGAGGTGCACAAGAAGCTGGGAGGGGGCACAGCCAGGACAGCTGACCCAAACTGGCCAAAGGGACATTCCATACCATGTGACATCATGCTCAGTATAGAAACTGGGGGAAAGCTGGCTGGGGGACCGCTGCTCGGGGACTGGCTGGGCATCGGTCGGCAGGTGGTGAGCAATTGTACTGTGCATCACTTGCTTTGT